TCTCCATGAGTTTTTTTGTATAGAGATGATCTTGTTTCATCTTTTTTAGATGTTCTGTTTCCTTTCTTGGTTTTTCTGTTAATGACTGTGATAAAACCATCTGTTTCTTCATTTTTGTCAAAAGAAGAAGCTGCTTTGGGAATGCGACTTGCAGATAGATGTGGTGTTCTATAGCCATAAATAGCAAGTTCATCTCTTGGTAGCATTTCTGTATCTGGTAAGAGATCTTCTTGGGTTGTCACTTGCGTTTATTCATCTGAGCTGTTATTTGTTGTAGCTAATTCTGCTGAAACTGGAAGCTGAAGGTTTTGCTGATAGCTGAGATCAGTTTCCTCTAAGGTCATATGTGTATCATCTTTTGTATCATTTTGTTCTTGCTGCTTAGAGTTTGCTAGTGATAGAGGTTCTTCATTGCTTTGTTCAGTACTTTCTGAAGTTTTGTTTAATTTCTGAAAGTCATTTGAGAGTCTTCTATTATGTTTGTCCTCTTTGTATTGTTGATAGCTAATTCGTAGATTTACTGAGTCCTAAAATTGTTGGCATTCTTTTTTAACATGGCCTTCTTTTTCACAGAAGTAGCACATCTTAGATGCTGATTTCTATTCTGTTGTAACCTTATTGTCCTACACATGTGTGAAACGAGGTATTTTGCTTTCTAGGTTAGGATCATCTAAGTTCTCAAAGATTATAATCTATTGGTCTGTAAGATAAAGTGTTTTTTTGATTAGTAGGGGCTTGATTGATGCGATTCTGTCCACAAACTTAAAGGCTTCTTTTATAGCATCTGATATTGCTTTTTTTGTTACCTAGTGGACATTTCTAATCTTGACTGAAAGAAATAATTTTCTTGAATCTGTAGGTATAAAGCCAAAGTAGGTTCTACCAAAAATATTAATACTCTTGATAGCATGATGTTTTAATTTGTCTTTGTTTTCGAACACTATTTCCAAATGTGTGCATATTCCTTTTGTAAAATGTTGTTTTGCTGCTATGACATCCTCTTTAAGGTTCTTAAATAATGAGGCTATAATTTCATTAAAAAAGCTGTACATGTCTTGGATGTCTATCATTAGCACATTTTCATTTTTTGATCTGATTTGGCTTCTGGGCATGAAGAAGAAGTAGGTAGACTGTCCTCTTCTTAATTTTGGAAAAAGACTAGACTACTGTTTAGTTAGTGTCTTTTTGTCTGTTGCTGTCTTTTTGTAAGTCATTGTAAGAGTTAGTTTTATGCACTTCACTTAACAAACTGCTACTTTGTGAGTTTTCCATTATGTTTAGCTCCTGTTCTGTTGTGTTTTCGGTTTCCTTTAAGTTGTCTAAAATTACCTGTTCCTCAGACGTGTTGTTTGTTGTTATGTTTATAGTATCTTTGGATGTGTTATTCTTGTTTACTTTTTGGTTTTAAGTAGCTTTCATTTTTTCTATTTCTAGTTCAACTTGTTTGTCTCAGCTTGTTGGGTTTTCACTAGGGATTTCTTTTAGTACCTGCTTTTCTTTTTGTTCAAGTTTAGTAGTCTCTTCTATATTAGTCATTAAGCTTAAAGAGCTTGTCACGTTTTCTTTGTTTTTCTTTACTTTTTTTCTGCCACTTGTTGATGCCATTTTTTTTGTTGTTTTTACACTTTTTATGTATTGAAATTCTGTAAAGAACCTTTTTCTTGGAACAAGAGCAAGGGCCCTTATTTTAGTAAATACTTTAGCCAGTTTTGTCTTGTTGTTTGCTCTTATTTTAACAAAAAGGTTACTCTACTCCAAAACTTATGTGTTCGGAAGAGAGTATATGCAGATCCTTACAATTAAGGTTAAAAAAAAGGCATATTTAAAATTTGCTGAAAGAGGAATTTTGCTAGACAAATTAATATTAAATTTTGCTACAGAAACAGCATAGATATAACCAAAAATAAAAAAAAGCATTTAAATCAGATAATTAATAGCTTCACTACTGTTTATATAAATTTTTGTAATATTACATCTTCAACTTGATTGCATATAATACAGAATGAAGTTGTCAAAATTCTCAAAGGATATTCGAATTATGTCTTCTGCACTAATTACAGTTCACAATCTAGTTTAATCATGTCTGGTTATTTTGACTAAAGTGTAAGAATTTGGGATTTTAGAAATGGTATGATTATACAAATTATATTATGTACTAAGTAATTATTGACATTAATTAATTTACATAATAGTGCTTATTTCAATCTAGTTTTAGCAATCATGACAGAATAATAATTGTATCATGTAGTTATGATGATCTAATGTAAGAAAGTTTAGTACAATAATGATATATGTGTTCTATATTATATTAATCTGAGCTTTAGATTTATATAATTGTATTTGGGATACTACAACGGGTCAATGCCTAAAAACATTAGTGAATGATAATAACCCTCTAGTATAAATTAATAAAACATTATTGTTTTTAATGTATAAAACTAGTTGATATATTATATGCTCACCTACAATGGTTTTTTTTTTAGAT